TTCGTTTTGCAGCTCGTATAACTGTTAGAACTGCTGGTCTTATCGTTTTGTAGCTCGAATAACTGTAAGAACTGGCTGACGAGTTCTCGTGTAACTGTAGGTAATCTTGGCCTTTTCGCTTTGCAACTCGAATAACTGTTAATAATGCAATATTTTTTAATAGTTTGCTGCGGCTAGTCACCTAAATGAGCGCACCCGAGGTCAGTAGCTATGTCAAATACAGTCAGAACGTTCGAATATTCTTTATATGTCAAGAAACAGTCAGGATAACTCGATGTGGTCCTACAGAAATAAACAGTAAGATTAACAATGTATGATAGGTAGAAAAATGCGATATAGAAAACAAAGGGAGGGTGGACGAACATTCGAGGTGCTTAACCAGCACTCGTTTGAATGACGCAGACGCATTGCAATCAGTTTATAAGGGGCAGGAGTTTAAGAACCAAGGGGCGAATCAGGACACGGTGAGAGGAACAGAGACCGTGAGCGGACGTGAAAACAGGCATTCTCTGCCGAAAAAGGGGGTAAATTGCATGTGTTTGAGGTCAGCTGTGGCGACAGCTGCAAGCGAACCAGAGGGGGGAGGGGAAATATGAAGTGTCAGCAGCCGAGGGTATGCAAATGACCCTCAGAATGCGTCGGTCGGGCAAAGGGGTTCTTCAAGTGGTCCTCACCGCAGTCGCTTCTATATCACCGCGCGAAGAGACAACTAGGTCAAGTGTGTTCAGGTTAGCCCGTCCCGACGGCTGTTTTATTTCGTCCACTTTCCTGTAGAAGGCCGAGACAGCTGAACGGGGGGTGGGGACAGTATTCATGCAAGCACTTATGAGTTGCTTGGCAAGGGAACTAAATTGAACGCCAGTGTACAGTCGACTGGAACAAAGGGGTCGACAGGAAAATATTTCATGGAGGAAGGGGACTTGGACATGCAGTACAGTTCTTGGGGGAAGGGGATTCGGGCACGCAGTTCAGAGCAAATTAAATCCGAAGATGAAATTGATGTTTTGAATGACACCCTACCTATTAAGGCAGTTTATCTCCTACATTTTTTGCAAATCGGCGGCTCGCTTAACTGAGCCACGGATGTAGGATTTCGTTGTTAATTGGGTCTGACTTGCTATCTTAACACACGAAACACACTTCTCCTTCCTTTTGTTATACAGTTGCTTACGTGCACCTATGATTACAAACTTTGTTTTTTCTGTTTAGGATAGCACTATGTTTGTAATGAAAGGGTCCCTTGGGCGTTAAATGTACAATTTATTTATTTATTGGGTCCTCCGGCGTCAAACCCTTTCGGATAACTATTTCGCAAAAATTGGTCGCGGAGATATCGGGCCTCGCGTACATTTACCTCCGGCCTACTGTGGTGAGTAGGAAACCATTTAAAGAGCGTTTTTACATAGCTCCGTTTATGGGCAACTGGATGATTGCCGTGAAAACTGAGAAGTTTTGTGTACGTTTCCGTCCCGTAAACAATCGTCTAGATTTCACAATTGCGCTTTCTTTTGACGAGGGCATCAAGGAAAGGCAGCTGCTGCTATTTATCTTCTTCCCTCGTCAAGTGTATGTCACGAAAGATTCGATTGAGCAAGTCATGGAAGTTTTACAGCATGCTCTTCTTGATGACAACAAACGTGTCATCAACGTAACAACGCCAATTTACAGGCTTCTTTGAATGAAAGCGGTGTTTTCTAGCTCTCGCAGGACCATTTCTGCCACTATACCGGAGTTCGGGGAGCCCATCGAAGTGTCTTTGATCTGTTCGTAGGTTTCTCCAGCAAAGATAAAGTATGTTTTTTGGCAGAATTCGAAAAAGCTCATGATATGTACAGTTTTGAGTGGGCTTCGGGCCTCATCATATGCCTCTTGAAATCTCCTGTGCAAGATTTCGCGCGCCATATTTGACGGTATTGATGTGAACAACAAAGTCACAGCGAAAGAGACCATGATTCATTCTGATTGAATCTTCCGATCTCGAAGGTCCTCGAGGAATTGAGAGGCTGCTTGAACTAAGGTAGTCCAGTTTCCTTGAAGGAAGTTTTGGGAAGGCTGGAGACGGTGGTTATGAGAGGGTAATGTTTGTCGTCTCTTCTGTCCGCACCCTATGGAGACCTAATAATATCAAAGTAGTCAATTGCGAATACTCCATTTCGAATGTAAAAGGGGGACGTGAAGACCTTAAAACTCCCTAATTGTGTACCCACGCGTGTCCACCTCCATGGCCCGTGTCGTCGCATTCGACCCAGTTTGATGAAATTCTGACGATGCGCTCGTCTGGTTAGACGCACACAGACGGCGCAGGCAGCAAAGAAGATAACTTTCTCACACAGATAAAAGTCAAGTAGAATTTCACTGACCCTGAACCAGCCCCCTTCCCCCGAACACGTGGCCCACAGTCCAAATGTTAACATCTACCTCCCCTCACCAGCACAATCTATCGCCGCAGGAGTCACGTCACCATAACCCTCCCACCCAATCCGTCCCGTTCGTTGTAACCTCTGCCCCCAAAACCTCTAGTGCGACATTCCCAGCCATCACTTTTCATTTAGTCTGACGACGAACAAGTTATTTCGGTTCAAAAATTCACGAGTACAACTCGATTTTCCGAAAATATTCTTTCTTTTTACAGATAAAACCACCTCAAATGTGCATAATTCGCTGGCAATCGAAGGACCTACCTGGACAGTTTTCGAACATCATTTTTATAATAACTCTTGATTTGTGTGGACGTCATTGAAAACGATGGTAGAACTCCCGAACACGCTCTTAATTTGAAATATTTAGCAGAAACGTATACAAGTTGACTGCCCAAAAATAAAACAGATAAGCCAATGGATGAAGGACGCAGACCACAACACATATTTCCTGGTCCGTCAGGCGAATGTTTATTAATGAATTTTGGATGCAAGTCTGCCGATTTACAAATTTTCAGGAGTGAAGCACTCAATTTTATTGATAAATCGTCCCATGCATCATACTTCAGAGCAGCGTCAGTCACTAATTTGGAATTTATATTTTTTAGCGCCGGGAAGGCACTATCTATACAAACTGAGTTTCGTAAAACATTATGGCCTATGAAAACTTGCGGTACCTTACTTTATCATTCGCCCCCGTTTTCTCTGCCAACTGCCACCCAATCGAGTCCGTGTCTCCCTCATCGACCAATCAGTATATGAAGGTCAGCAGTGCGTGACTGCATGCTGGCGTACGGTTGGATGACACGCTAGACTCGACCATTATTGCATTATAAACGTCACCTCACCAGGCATGTTTACCAGTTCACTGCTTCTGCTCCGATTTTTCGCTTAAAATGGCCCTTGCACAAGGACAACCTTTCGAGGATGCGTTTTCACTGGTCCGCAGCTGCCCCGTCCTCAACGAAATTCGCCTCAACGAGGAGATCGTGGATCTTATCATACAGGTAGTCGCGCTTGTCATTGCCGCTCTTTACACGTTGCTTTGTCTGTGTTCTAGGTGAAAGATGATGATCGGGTCCACGCTCACTGATTAATATTAGCTGCCCGAATTCCAGCTCTAAGAAGTATTCTTACTGACCCTCACAGACAGGAGAATACGGTTCTCAGGTGGCCAACCGTACCTCTAAAGTAACCACCTC